CCCCAAAACCCCAAAACCCCAAAACCCCAAATTTTATTTTAAATTGAATTGAATAAAATGATCGAAGAAGGTAAATATAGCCTTTAAATTCTAGCAGATAGTCTACAGTCTGGGATAGAAGGAGGGCGAGCCCTCCTGTTGGCCACTGAGATGGTAGATAAACTTTCCAAGAATATAGATAATCATATTTACTCAGAGTTTATTGAGAGACAAAAGAGACCTTTCTCAGTGGAATCTCTCATTCAACTTTGACATCACGGGATCAAGAGCTGAGTTATTCACTACGATTCGCTTGTTCCCCCTCCAGAGGTAGACCTTGAGGAGCAAAACGATGAGCCTGAAGTCCCAATAAAAGACAGATGGTGTACAGATTATGTCAATGTGGAGAAAGTCCAAAAATTATACTTCGACCCTTCAGAAACAATCGACGAAGCGGATGCTAAATCAGTCAGATCATATCGGTCCTTTGCCAGGTCGCATGCTTCCGTGTTTACCAAGACTAAGAGGACCTTCATGAAGGTAAAATCAAAGCAGAGCTCTAAAATTGTCAAGCTAAAAATTACCCAAAAAGAAATCCCAGAAGATGAAATAAGACTTCGTGAAAGAAAGGAAAAACAAATTCTCCACAGGAAGAAGGAAGCAGCAGAGAAATAAAAGGCTCAAAGAAGAGGAAAGACAGGATAAAATGAAAAAGAGATTTGCACTTGGTGGTGACCCTAAGGCAAGCCTCACATGTGACCATAATGGCAAGCCCATTGTGGTAAAGAAGCTTAATGTGAATAAACTCAGAAAAGCTGAAGGTCCTGGGTACTCCTTTGAAGCGGTTAATCGGGATCAGATCAAGGCGATGAAGAGGAAACAACAAAAGAAATTTGAAATTTATTCAAAAGAACTCTTTCCAGCTAGTATAAACTCTAAATAGTATTGTTGATGACCTAAACCTGAGTGCTGAGGATTTTATCGATGAGTCTCAATGTTCAGCAACATTTGGAGACCTCTCTTCTGTTTTAGCCTTAATGCCAGGAGTTCAGTATAATACAAGAGATAAGACCTTGAGAGGACCTCTATATAGACGTGAAAATAAAATGGCTATCCACGATTATAAGGTAATTTCAAATTCAAGAGGTAAAGTCAAAATTGACCTGTAGAAAATGCCAAAATCAGATACGACATCCATGAAGGCTCTCCTGTAGTGAAACCAAAGGAAGAGAAAACTCCAATTTCGGAGGTTAAACATGACTCCATTGCTAATATGGGGTCTGTTATTAAAAAGAAGGGTCATGGGTATGAAAGGATGAAAGGTGATGCGACCAAATCAGGAATTTTACAAGAGGATCATCACCTACACAATATATCCTCCAAACACTTTGGAAGTGGGGTAATCTCAATTTTTATATCTTTAGAGCCTAAGCCAAAGCCGTAGGATTAACGAAGGCGCATTCAGAGGGAGAAAGAATAATGATTATTTCACACGTGAGCAAGGAATGAGGCCGACTACTGCCTAAAAAGCACTATAATGTACAGTCTCTTCTTAATTATTAGAATATACTAAAGAGGATGTCAGGAAGGAGATCTGCTAAGGAGACTGGGAACAGGTTCTCAATCAAGCAAAAAGTGTTCGAAGATGGTAAAACTTCAGTCCAAATTTAGTTACTAACTTCTCAATGAAATCCAACACGATGCAGAGGAGGAACAATTCAAAGAATCTGAGGGTGTCTGCTTTTAATAAATTCAACCATGATCTCGTACAAGGGAAGGTTAGCAGTAAGGTTTGACTCTAAACCAGTAGATGTGACTTCCGGGTCCCAAGCCCGTATAAATTCCGCAGCATATAATACACGTCCAATGAGACAGAAAGGTAATGATATCTGATGACTTGTAGACCTCATCCAAGAAGGAATGTCTTCTCTTTCATCTCAGAGGGGCAAACTTAAATCAGCAAGCAGGCTTAATAGGATCTCCAGGGCTATCAAGACAAGTATGAGAGAGAATAGAGGCAAAATAATGGTTAAAGAGAAGTTATAATTCAACTATCAGCTTGCTTATTGGGGTTTTGGGGTTTTGGGGTTTTGGGGTTTTGGGG